CCTGGCCAAATCCTATCGTCTAGGAGTCTGATCAGCAACCAGAATACTAACAAAACAGAAGTGATCCACAGAGCTGTCAAGCACTGCAGCAGATATTCAGCTGGTCAGGGGTGGGGTGGGGGGTGTCTGGTTTGAATAGCATCCAAGATGGCCACCGGCTTTAACTTGAGGTCATTCAGAGATCAAATTCCAGGGATTACAAACAAATCTTCCAGGATTACTGAATTACTCTCACTTGGTATTTCAACGTTTTTCGGAAAAATAAGCATGCAGGCTGAGATCTGAAGAACTGCACAACTGGTTCCACATGCCATAGGGGAACTTCAAGCTTGCCACATGGCAAAACCACATTTGAAGCAAAGGGGACTTCCAAAAGATGATTGTAACATGACAAGGGTCACAACTGTTCATACAGAAGGGCGTTGGCTTGTTGGGGTAGCACAGGATTTGCTTGCAGGATAGCTGAAGTTCAGGCCTTGGCATCTCCCATTAAATTATCTCAGGTATCAGGTGTGGTGGAGACCCTTTCTGTCCAAGACCCTGTAAAGCTACCACCAGAGACAATGATGAGCTAGAAGGACCAGTGGTCCAACTCAGTATATTGGTGAAAAGGAGGAGTGAGAGAATCAAGTCTGTCTGTGCACCCTGAAGTCCTTGGGCAGTCCTTTGGTGTAGTGGTTAAGTGTGCGGACTCTAATCTGGGAGAACCGGGTTTGATTCCCCACTCCTCCACTTGCACCTGCTGATGTGACCTTGGGTCAGTCACAAGCTCTGGCACAGCTGTCCTTGAAAAAGAGCAGATTGTGTCAGAGTTCTCTCAGCCCCACCCACCTCACAGGGTGTCTGTTATGGGGAGGGGAAGGGAAAGGAGTTTGTAAGCCGCTCTGAGACTACAAATGAAGGGTGGGGTATAAATCCAATCTCTTCCTCTTCTTCTTCTCATTCATTTAACTTTTTCTAAAGCATAGTTTATTTATATGGTTCTCAGCTTAATCTGGCATTTCATACGCATCTATTCTTGAACCATAACGAGTAGGAATATGACACCAATTTTAAGTTCATCATGACTTACAAGGAAGGCACAAAATATTGAACAAAGCAGTAAAACAGACATTGCAGCACATTTGGCATATCCCATTTTAGGTCTTTATTTCCAAACAGGAACTATTTACAAGGAAGTTAGAAAAAGTAGAACATAAATAGTGTCTTTAAAGTACAGATACTTAATAATATGCTCTTTTCATCTCCATAAGCAAGAATGCCACCCCGCTAATAGCTTCCAACAATCCAACCTAATAATACACCCACAGAATTTCCGAATGGTAATGAAGTCAACATACTAGTGAAGAGGTTTCCCCTGAAAGTGGACATAGATTTATAAATAGGCACATTAGCAATATTGCTAAACAAGTCCCATATGTTAACTGCTGCTCTTTATTGCACGGTATTGTTAAAACAAGACCCCCAAATGCCAAAAATTCATTTCCAACAACCAAACGTAGCCCAGCCACTGGAAACTGCTTTTACGCAAATGCCACTTAAAATTAGCAGCATGGAAGACTTCTGCAGATTTTGCCTACTCCGCACCAGGCATGTCATTTGGGGGAGGGGGAAGCAGAATACAAATGTAGCTCACAAGACAAGCAGCGGAGGAGAGGTGTCTAGACGCTGCCTCAGAGCGGTCCCGTTCCTGTCTTACGTTTGAACAGCTGCTCGCTAGAAGGGGTGGAGCGTACAGCCAACGGGGCCATTTGCATATTGGTTAAGCGCTCAGCTCTTGCTTTCAGAGTTCCCTCCTTCTAGAGAACAATACTAATTATTGCACTCTCCAATCAGGCATACAGTGGCTGGCAATTTAAAGTGCTGGTTTTACAGAGAAACACGCAAGCACAAATCTTTAAAACAGCGATTACCGAATTATCAAGTGCAGCATGACAATAATTAACGTCAAAGAGGCCTTCGAGACGTTGTGTGTCATCTGTGCCGCAGACACAGAAACGTTCCACTCGTGCTACCTCTGTGCCTACTGACTACAAATCGGAGGTCCTCTTTAAACTAGGCTCCTGTATTTCAGGGATCCTCAATGTGGTGCCCACTGATACCTTTCATGGTGCCCATGAAGTGTTTTCATTAAGTGGGTGGGGCCACATGGGGCTTTTGCCCAGCTAGGCTTCTGATTGGCCATTTAGCTGTGCAAGTTTTTTTTAAAAAAATGTTGCTTTGGCAGCAGCTGCCACCACAACACAAGGCTCTTCACTGTTTGACTGAAGGTAAGCTGTGGCAGCCATTTTGTGGATGGCTCCGCCTTTGTAGCAGCCATTTTGTGGTTTGCTTCATCTTCTGTGGCAGACGTTTTGTGGGTGTGCGTGCCAATCACACGTTTGTCAGCATTACAAAGGTGCCCACAGCCTAAAAAAGGTTGGGGATTACTGCTGTATTTGAAATTAACCAGAATTAATTAATCAGGGTTATTAAAAATTATAGTTTCCTATACTTTATGGTGGTTTTGCATAATATCTGGGACCCCAAAACAATAATTTAAAAACCCATCACCCTAGATAAAGTCATAATAATATTTTAAGTATAATTTATGTATAATTCCACACATAGGATTACTTTTAAAGTGCTGGTGGACAGACAAGCTTCCCAGTTAATGTCTTTAGAGGTTGATTCATAATATCAAAGTATTTACAGACCTTAAGAGTCTCAATTGTTGTCGTGTGGCTGGCCTTTCATTTCCCTTCCTGTCTCAAACTTCTTCTTAACTGCTTTCTCCCCCTAACACAACCAAGCCTATATCATACTCTGGAGGAACGAACCTTTACAGAACAGATTTCACATCTGCACCAGATTCACCAGTCATTGCAACATCATGCCTTGCCCAATCTCTTTCTGCAGACCGCATCATGAGTTGTTTTAACCCCGCCAGGCTTTATCCCTGCAACTATATTATCAGATGCGCCCTTCAAACCTGTCCCCAACTTTGACTGAATGGAAAATTCCCAATGGTTGACTAGACATTTTCCACCGTAGGGTAGCTGTACTTTTCCTGTAGCAGACTGAAATGTTGTCACAAGTGCCTTTACATTGTTAGTGATGGCTTTGAAGTAGGGCTACAACTTTTATCTAGACAAAACACTCACTTGACATGAAGTGTGCTATTAAGTACTCAGCAAAGGAGCCAAGCTATTGGCAACAGTTATGACAAAAGCACTAATAATGTAGGGACCATTCACAGTCTGCGAATAGCAATGCCTGCATGTTCAAGGCTGTATTTCCATACAGTCCACGAGCAAATCTTCAGTCGTCCAAAAAAAAAATCACACTGATTTCTTAAGCAAAGATAAAGCATCACACTTTTTAAACAAGCCAGCATCAGATAATTGCCACTGTTTTCATTTCTTACCTCACGGGGCATATTGCCAATAAATACCTGTTACCAAAAATGGGTTCTGATGTAACGTACTAAGAGTCAAAATTTTAAGGATGCTTTCGTTATTTGTTATTATTATCTCTGGGGCTTTAAGTTCAAAAATACCTGAATGATACTGTAACTCTTTTGTAGGAATGTCGAGAGTTTATTATTGGATTCTTTGCATGTTCTTGTTTGCTTTGTTATGAAAAATGAATAAAGAGAAATTTTTTAAAAAAAGATAATTACCACTGGACACTGCTTTCACACACACACACACCCAAACCATGCACAGTATTGGCATAGGCCCAAATATAAATACATGCTAAAATCCATTGGTGGTGGAACGCGCCATCAAGTCACAGCTGACTTATGGCAACCCCGCAGGGTTTTCATGGCAAGAGATGAACAGAGCTGGTGTGCCATTGTTTGGCTCTGGTCCCCTTCCTTGGTGGTCTCCCATCCAAGTACTAACCAGGGCCGACCCTGCTTAGCTTCTGAGATCTGCTGAGATCAGGCTAAGCTGGGCCATCAAGGTGAGGGTAAACAAGTATGGGGATGGAAAATGCAGTCAAATCACAGTTGACTTATGGCGACCCTGTAGGCTTTTCAAGGCAAGAGATGAACAGAGTTGGTGTGCCATTGCTTGGCTCTGTGTAGCAACCCAGGACTTCATTGCCAGTCTCCCATCCAAGTACTAACCAGGGCCGACCCTGCTCAGCTTCTGAGATCTGACAAGATCAGACTAGCCTGGGAGATCCAGGTCTGGGGTAACCAACAAAGATCGGAGTGGCTATTATTTCTAAAGGAGAAGCGATCTGCAAAAGTTCCGTGCAAAAATAACTTGGCTAAAAAAAAAAAAGCTTTGAAGCATTTCTTTCTTTTTTAAGACTGGCAAATTTCCATAGGCTGGGAAAGTTCTGAGGCACAGGCAGAGCCCCGGGTACTATTATGGCTCAGCACAGGCAGTATCTAGAACCCTTAAATCCCTGCTATGTGGCATGAATGTGTTCAAGCAGCTATTTAGTCCAGTGCACGAACAGCTTCACAGTCAGAACAAGAAGAAAGCTACGCTAGTTTTCAAGCTTTAAACAGGTTACAGCAGAGAGCCGAGTCGAAAAGCCAATCACATTTTCTTTCTGAAATGGCTGAACAGTTTGGTATGAGAAAGCTTCCTTGGGTGAATGAACAGAGGAACGGATCCAGGGAGCACATAGTGTGCTCATCAGACAGGCTACTGAAATGTCATGTTTGGGGCATGAAAACCCCTCTCTAACTCAATCCCCTTTCTGTGCATCTTCTGAGCATGTCAGTGCAACTGGTGCAAGGACAGTTTGGTACATGGTAGTTTCCCCCACTGGCTAAGAACACCTCCATGTGCAGCCTTTCAATCCACAACTACTTATGAGCCCAGGTTTCAAATGAAAAGGGCTGCTGCCCATCACTCTGGACAAGACTGTGCCACTCTCGTTCAGCAGCAAGCCACCTCTACTCACGCAGAGAGCATCTGCCACCAATGTCAACAGGGACAATGCTGCATTTAGGTCTTGAACTTGTTCTGTAAACAGCTAACTACATCGTTGCCTCTTAATCCTCTGGGCACAAAACTGCACCTCTCTTGTCCCCCACCCCCGGGATGTCTTACAACATTTCGTTCTAATAAATACATTAAAAAATTGTAAACACCAATTCTTGCTTAGAAATTAGGCCGCTGGAGACAGCTAGGGGACTCCTACACGGTGGCATTTCTAGGCATTTCCACTAATGGCAAAAAGAAATCCCTTCGTGGTCTGCAGAATTAGTGCAAGTAAAATCCAGTAGCCAGGCGGGTCCCTTATTTATTCTCTTGGTAGTAGCTGTCAACCGTAGCGGAATTAAAATGGACCACGGTGACTGTTATGTCATCCCTGTACATGCGTGCCAGGTCATCGGGAAGGGTCAACATGGCCCCAAGCCTCTCCGGATCGACCTCTCCGTATTCATTGTTCCCAACAGCATGTCGGATGAGGTGGGTGGCCACGTTCTCGTCATAGGAGCGGACGCGCTTGGCTTTCCTCCGCAGCAGCAGGTTTTGCATGTAGCCCAGCTTGGCCGGTTTTTTTAAAGACAGATGCATTTGCTGCACGTTTGTTTCGAGCAGGTGTTCCGCAACGAGCTTGACCACCTCTTCGTTGCTCAGCATGTCCCATAGACCATCCGAGGCAATGACTAAAAATTTATCCTGACGCCTTATTTTATGGTAGGTGACTTCTGGCTCGGCAGTCAAATAGGGAGGGGTGTGGTAGTTTGGGAGTACGTACTCATAAATGTTTAACGCTTCCGCGTTGCCCCCATTTCCCAGCACGTTCTGCTGCAGCTCCTGACTCCATTTGAACCGGACGTCGCCAAAAGCCCGAGAAGGCATTAGGACACCCAGCAGCCTGTTGTTCACAAAGAGAGTGTCCTCTTCGGACTTTGGGTGCTCCCTTTTCAACCTTAGGACTTCCAGATTGTTGAAGGCGTTGTGGTCTCGAGTGAGAGGGAGGGCGGCCCACGAGCCATCTTCATTCTGAACGCCTAGGACAGCCCTGCAGTCTCCGGCGTTGGCCACGTGCAAATGAATGCTATCGATGTGAGCCACACATGCCGTCGAGCCAGAAAAAGCCACCTGAAGGGCGATGTTCCTCATCAGTTCATTCTCTAAGGGCGCCTGGACCTCCAACGAGAGGTCTGAGTCCAACCTTTTAAAGGCGTAGACCAAGGCTTCCTCCGTCGTAAAGCCCGATTCCATGTCCAGTAAGGCCTGCCAATAAACCCTGAGTTGTTCCAAATACAAAGAAGCTACCTCTTGAAAGAACCTGTCGTTCGTATGCTTGTACCACTGCAGGATCGGCAGAACGGGCTTCATGGACTCCATGGCAAATTCCATTTCCTCCAGCCGTTGCCGAGGCAGGAGAGAAATGGCAATATAAAAGAACAGCCTCTCGCTGACCGTCTGGGCGCAGGCATAACCCGCGTGGCCGTCAAAAACCCCAAACATCACCCCTCGGGTCTGCAAGAATGCAGCTGAGCTTCGACGGTCTTCGCTTGGGGTGTTGGCGGCCAACTGGTTACTCTCAAATTTCAACACTGAACTGGGGTTTTTCCCATCAAATTCGGGTATCGTATGGGACAACTCGCTCGCCTTTAATATCTCATCTATCTGCGATGGTGTCAGATGGAAGGAGAAGTCCTCTTCTTCCGTTGAGGTATGTCTGAAAGCCTTGTTCAAGGTAAAAACGTCAGCTGTGCTACCAGCGGTATTTGCCCATACAGAGGGAAAAGGACCTTTGGAAAACAAACTCCTCTGTGTAGTATTCTTCTGGTTTGAAATGTACCTGGAATTCAAATGTCCTCTTCCATGCAAAGCGCAGATTCTGCTTCTGGCAGAGTTTATAATCCGGGAAGACATAGGACTGGACATTGTAAGGATGTTTTGGAAAACCTACAGGTTAAAAAAAAAGCTGTTGTTGAATCAGAAGACAAACAACAATACTTCTTGTAACCCCTACAACACGGGATAGCTAGTAAGCATTACTTCGGGACCAAATGCGGATTAGTCTGTGCTATTGTGTTCCCCATAGCAACCTATGGCTGCAAAAGTTGGACCATGAAGAAGCAAGACAGGAGGAAAATCGACTCATTTGAGCTGTGCTGCTGGAGAAGACTCCTGCGCATTCCTTGAACAGCAAAGGCGACAAACAAGCAAGTATTGGAGCGCATAAAACCAGACATGCCATTGGAAGGGGAAAAAATCACAAAACTGTGACTGACTTATTTTGGCCATGTCATGCAGAAGAACTCACTAGAGAAAGCAATTATGCTTTGATTGATTAGCAGCAAAAGGAAACCTGGCCGCCAAAGAATACAGTGACTAGATGCCATAAAAGTCAATACCAGCCTGAGCATGGAACAACTCAAAGAAACAGTACAAGATCAGAAGACATGGAGAGAACTGGCCCATAGAATTGCGAAGAGTCAAACACGACTGAATGGCTAACAACAACAACTTCGGGACTGGTGTGCTATTGAGAAAACAGGCGAATTACCATTACTTTTCTCTGACTTATTTAACATTGTATTACATAAGTGTCATAAGGTCTCAACCAACTTCTGGCAACCCCAGTAGGGGCTTTCAAGGCAAGTGAGAAGCACAGGTGGTTTGCCATCACCTTCCTCTGCAAAGTCTTTCTTGCTCATCTCCCATCCAAGTACTGACCACACTTAGCTTCCAAGACCTGACAAGACTGGGCTATATCAAGCTGCCTTCCCTCCCTATTTAACATGGTGGTGATGGTGGTGATGGAAAGTGCCGTCAAGTCACAGCTGACACATGGCGACCCCATAGGGTTTTCAAGGCAAGAGATGACCAGAGTGGGTTTGCCACTGCCTGCCCCTGCGTATCGACCCTGGGCTTCCTTGGTGGTCTCCCATCCAAAGAGGATACTATAACCAAAATGCTGACCTGAGTCACCAGGATCAGAGTTACTACTAGACTGCTCTCAGGAGTCCTGATGTCCAAACACATGTGCTGCCTGATCCTATGCATAGTTAATCAGAAATGTAAAGAATCCATAGGGATTTATAATTAAGAGCGCATAGAATTGCAGCCTTATCTAGAAATAAGCCCCATTGTTTTAACCAGCACCAATCAGATAGCATATTCAAGCCTGATCTTTGCTCTTGCAAGATAAACTACTCCCCCAAAAGATATACTGCAACGTTAAACCTTTTGCAGTTCTTTCCCTTCAAAATACCCTCATCTGATGTGAGTCTACTGTCAATTGCTATGAATAAACTGCAGTAATTCCAAACGAAGTGGTCACTCGCATCCAGAGACAAGAGAGCTCTTTGGCGACATCTCACAAAATCATTCCAGGGAGGATCGGAGTTCTGTTTGATCCTAGGTACTGCCATGATAACTGGCAAAATGAGCAGGTGGTATCTTTTAAAGCACCAGTTTCTTCGGTCCACTTTATTGGGAGTAAGTCAGGGAGATCGGTAAAAATGCAGGAGGATCATGCAGTTATTATTAGCGAGCACGGAAGGTCTAGGAGCCTGAACAGCCCAGACTAGCTACAGCTTGGAAGCTAAACAGTGTTTGCCGTGGTTAGCACTTGAATGGAACCTCCACTCATCTCCTGCCTTGAAAACCTCATGAGGGGTCAACTGTGATTCAGTTGCAACATGACAGCACTTTATTATTGTTGTTATTTATTATGGATGGTCTGGCAACAAACCAGCACTGAGAGAAATTTGCCCAGTGAAAGCCATTGCTCTATTATCATGCATCCCTGAGAGCAATACAGCAAAAGTTTTATACGCATTCTGTCTCTAATGCAGATTCAGGCTGAACTTTTAACACTGAATTGATTTTACAAGCTCTAGAAATAACGTCCTTTCAGATTTCAACCACAGATTTTAATCTAGGTTATTCTTGGAATTGTTTCTAGGGGGATACAAAGATCCACGCTGACTTTCTTCCAGAATAGCTTCTGAAGTACTTAGTAGACAAAGTCACTCTAATCTTGACTGGGATTCTGTGACATTCCAGGCAGCTCCCTTTGCTAACACGGATTGCTGGCATCATTAAAGCTCCTACCGCCCCTTTGACCCACTGAAATGGTCTCACACTTCAACATTTTTTAAAAAAAGGAGAACAAATGCAAATTTCCTTTCCCAGATAAACTCAGATTGCTTAGAATATCAGCTGTGTTGCAATTATTCAAATGCTTCCTTTAAGAAATATTTTGATGGGAAGACTGTTGGCGTTATGTGAACGTTTACCCATCTAACTGTACGTATGCCTAAAAACTCAAACTCCGGAGACGGATGTTACTTTCACTGTGTACTGTGATTTTCACTTATGTTCACCAAAAAGGGAACATAAAAATAATTTGTGTTTCTATTGCCATTTTCACTGCATACAGTGATTTACATTTGTGTTCACCAAAAAATGAACATAAAAATAATTCACGTTTTTATTTCTGTGTGCATTCTATCAGTTCAACACAGGCCAACACAGCTTGTAATTCTGCAACCCAAAACACAACACACCAAGCTTGGGGAAGCAAAGGGTCAACCCACAACCATTAATCCATTCACCCCTCTTCCTCCAGCTTCCATCCATGAGGCTGTTAGAAAGACGGCAGAAAGTACCTGGTATCAAGAGCCAGTATAGTGTAGTGATTACAGTGTCAGACTAGAATCTGGGAGACCCAGGTTTGAATCCCTACCCTGCCATGGCAAGTTGCTGGGAGACCTTGGGCCAGTCACACACTCAGCATAACCTACCTCACAGGGTTGTTGTAAGGATAAAATGGAGGAGAAGAGAGGGATATAAGCTGCTTTGGGTCCCCACTGAGGAGAAAGGCAGGGTATAAATGAAGTCAATAAAAATGAAGTACACACACAACTGGTGAACTGTATTTGGTTTACCAGGTTACAACCTGTACAGGTTTTATTTAAACTATTGGGTCAAACACTTTAAAAAGTGACTAGTTTTAAAATAGGCAAACGTGCCTATTTTCATTCCTCTCTTGTGCTACATTTTAAACACTGCTGTACTCTTTCCACTCAAATCTATGGGACAACTCCAGATATAAGTCCCAGCCCTAAACATTCTTACAAGCATTTCCCACTGACTACAGTGTTTATGGAAGGCGGTCTCCATATAAAAAGCTTTAATAGATATGATAAAGAATGGTTTTTCCAAATGCACACTTACGGTCTAGTTACTGGAAACGTCTTGGTAACAGCCGTGCATCTGCCAAAAGCTGATCGGTTCTTAAATCTGTGAGATTGTGAAAAGAAAAGAAAAAGTTTCCAAATAAATGAATGTCTGACCAGTATATCCCACGTGCCATTTACTAAGCATGCTTTTTCCAAGTGATTTGCTAATCAAGCACAACAAGCTGTACACTCGAACTATTATTTTCTCTGCATTAAAACCTATATCCTACCAGTTCAAAGCGGCTCATGCGGCATCAACAAATCAAAATGCAATATCATTAAAAATACAGTTAAACAACACCACGCAAGATGAAATCACACAGTTCCACTGGCTAGTTTTCATCAATAAAATAGTTTATTGATTTGTAATGGCATGTAAATCTATCACACTTTGAATGCATAATTCAAGTTCTTTTTTCCATGCCACTGGAAGCAAAGTGATAATTCTCCACAAGCAAGGATTTTCAGCTCCTGATTTACTTATTGGTGTTTCCTCCAGAGCAGCAGGATCACATTCTGAACTGGTCATTCGCCTATCCTGCAGGGCATGAGGGAAGAATGAAATGCCGCAGCACTGGCTTCAGAGAGGGCGGAGTTAAATCAACAGACGGTGTCTCTGAGCCAGGGACAAGGTCTCCAGGAGCCCTAGAGCAGAGCCAATATCTTTTATCTCCTTTCAAGATTTACAGTGCAGTCCTAGGAAGAATTACACCCTGATAAACTCATTGATGTCAGTGGACTTAGAAAGGTATAGAAATCTGTTTAGGATTGCACCATTAACCCAAAATTATGACTCTGCGTACAAGTATTATTGATGGTGCTTACCTTCAACACATGACGGAAAACGACCAACCGCCACAAAACCCGAGCTTTGCATCCTGGCTTCAACAATTCAAACTCGTAGGTAACATAAACCCTCAACTGAGTTTACTATTCCTACCAGTGGACGGTACTCTCAGGCAACCCCTTGATGGTGTGTTTTACAAAAATCCTCTTCATTGATTATACTGCTACACAACTTAGCAAACTGCCTTTTAAAGTGCTCTCAGTTTAGTGTTCTAACATAGATGTATCCCTCTTCGTTTCATTGTTCTTGTTTATCTGTTCTAATGCATACCGCTTCATAACTTGTATGTTAATAACAAAATTTAAATAATTTTTTTAAAAAGTATTATTGACGGAACCTGCCACTAACAATGCTTCTCACAACAGACGGTAACCTTTCCCTGTTTTCCTTTTGTGCTTCCTTCAGCTGCCTGTTTTATTTGTGTTAAATTAGGCATTGCATTTTATGTGTTATATGAATAACTGGCTTTTTCTACTGCTCCCTTCCCCCACATTTTTCACCCCCCCGCTTCCTGATCCCCCACCTGTTCTTCCCTCCCTTCTGTCCACCTACAATCAAGATGGTTTCCAGAAACCAACCAAACCAATTAATAAAGAGTAATTTTAATTTAAATACTTTTTGCTTGTCTCTCAAGAATATTTTCAGAACTTATTTTACCTTGTGAGCTACCTCAAGCAAGTCTCTGGAGAGGCAGCACATAACATTTTCTAAACAAGCAACTATTTTGCTGTAGATTTTCCGAGTTGTGTGGCCGTGGTCTTGGCACAGAGAGTACACAGAGTACTCCATCTTTCTGTGTTATACCTCTAAGGGTGACTGTTAAGTCCGATGCTTAACAAAATAGTCAGAGAGTGATTTCAGCAAAACTCAGGTTTATTCAGCTCGACGATCACTTCTCTAACACGGTACAACTCTTCTGATAGCCCGAACAGCTTTTCCATTGCAGCTGCTCGGTATTTAAATATTCCGGGCTAATGTAGCCACTCCTACTATACAGTTATCAACCTATCAGGTTGAGCGCATAAGTGACCAATCAGAGTCTTTCCCGCTTATATACATTTGAACCTGATTGGTCGCATTAGTCTTGGACTTCAATCCCTGTTCAAGACGAAGCTTAACATTGCTTCCTTATGAGATGTTTCACATTACATCTTAGGTATTCCTGGCAGCTTCAGAATACACTACAGTGACAGTCACAGTTACTGGCAAAACGTCAGGTTCTACAATGCCAAGACCACGGCCACACGTCCCGGAAAATCTACAGCAACTAATGAACTCCAGCCGTGAAAGCCTTCGACAACATATTAAGCAACTATTTTATTTACCTCGTTAACGGTCCATGATCCTGCACTTTATTTTCGTATGCGACCAATCCTTCTTGTAAACCTAATGCAAATCAAAATAGCATTTTAAGGGAAGATAAGGTAAAGTAAAGGTAAAGGTTCCCTTGCTCGAAAGCCAGTCGAATCCGACTCTAGGGTTGCGGTGCTCATCTCCGTTTCAAAGCCGAAGAGCCAGCGCTACAGGGAAAAAAATATTCTGAACCCTGGGGCTCAGTATTCGGTCCATAAGACGCACACACTTTTCCCCTCACTTTTTTTGGAAGAAAAAGTGCATCTTATGGTCAAAAAAATACGGTATTAAGCAACTATTTTATTTACCTTGTTAATGGTCCATGATCTTGCGGCACCCGGGTCTTGAACCACTGAACTACTGACCTTCCACAGCCTGCAGTTCAGCGTCTTAACCACTTGAGCCACCGCAGCTCCAAGGGAAGATAAAATATAGCGTTTATCATTACAGTCAAAATTGAAGCTGTCCTTCACTGTAGTCAAGCAGCAGACCTAAGCAGCCCATAGACACAGTAAGGGCTTTTGCATACTCAAAACAACTCCAACTTTCCCTTTTTAAAAACAAGAGACAACAGAATAACAACAACGGAAATTCCCAGCAAAAGGGGTGTACAATCCCCCCCAGGAGCAGAATGTTCTGGATGGCCCAGGTTAGCCCGATCTCATCAGATCTCGGAAACTAAGCAGGGTCGGCCCTGGTCAGTGCTTGGACGGGAGACCACAGAGGAAGTCCAGGGTTGCTGTGCAAAGACAGGCAATGACAAACCACCTCTGAAGTCTCTTGCCTTGAAAACACTGTGGAGTCACCAGACGTTGGCTGTGTCTTGAGGGCACTTTCCACCACCAGAACCCTAGAAACAGTTTAAAACCCCAGTAGTGAGGGAAGCAAGTTCCTGCGGGGCCAAGAAAAAAATTCCGCTAGGCAGGGAAGGGAAGGGGGAAAGGAGAAACAACCTCTCCCCTTCCCTGAAGCATTATCGTATGCTGGCATTATTGTAGGTGACACAATCTAGGGTAATGGTGGAAAGTGCTGTGAAGTTGCAGCTGACTTATGGTGGTAACCCCAGGGCTATTTTTGGGCAGGAACGCACAGGAACGGAGTTCCGGCTGGCTCCCAAGTTGGCCACGCCCAGCAGGAACTCATTAGCATAATAGGCCACACCCAACAGCAGAAACTCATTAGGATTGGCAACATTAGGGGTGTGTGGCCTAACATGCAAAGGAGTTCCTGCTACAAAAAAGCCCTGGGTTTTGACAACAAACAAAGTAAACAGAAAAAGAAGCAAAAGGTTGGTGTGGCTGGATGATCACCCTTTTTTTTTTTTTACATTCAGCTTACATCCCGCTCGAACCCCTCCCACGGGGTCTCTGAGCGGCTTACATAGTTTATTATCCCTAACTTCTGGTAACATGGCCAGCCTGGGCCATCCAAATCAGGGCCAGAGTCTAGGGGAGGGGATTTAATCCCCTCACCGTACCATTCGGGTTGAAGGCCATCCACTAGTTCTCCTCCCCCCCCCGATTCTTATTCCCTAATGATTGTTTTGAGCACCAGCCCTCAAGTTCCTTGAGGGTCCCCAATTTGGTGTCAATCTAAAACACCTCCAGTGGTTAATCCATCAAAAATAAGAAGCAGTTCCATTCCTCTAACACCATGCAAATGAATACAAGACTACATTCTGCCAAAGCCCTCCCTCCTCTGTCCGCCTCAGTATAGAACGTTTTGTGTTATTTGCTTGGCGGGTCAGCCGAGGTAACATTATTTTAGAACTTGATAAAGTGCGGCTGCCTAGTTAGTTGGGCCTAGACTGAGGGCAAATCCGTTTGTTTACTTTTTCTCATGACACTGCTGCTAAAGAGCTGCTGGCAAGGTTGGCAGAGCCAAAAATGCCAGCAACAGTTTGGAAAAGGAAATGGGAGAAAGGGAAAAGAAGAATTAAAAGGATGACACACAAGAGAATCCAACATTTACAGCAGGAATACACTGACATCTTGTCAGCTGCTACCACATTACAAAATACAGATACATGTTTGTACACCCACATAAAGAGTGTACAACCTTCCTTATAGTCCAACTCTCGCAGCCATACATGACTACTGGGAATACCATTGCTTTGACCATGCGGACTTTTGTTGGCAGGGTGATGTCTCTACTTTTTATCATGCTGTTTAGGTTCGCCATTGCTTTCCTCCAGATCTGCGGTGATCTGGGATCCCAGGAATGTGAAGTCTGTCACTACTTTCACGACTTCCCCTTCTATTTGCCAAGGAGTGATGGGGCCGGATGCCATGATCTTAGTTTTTTTGATGTTGAGCTTCAAGCCCACTTTTGTGCTCTCCTCTTTCACTCTGAGCAAGAGGCTCTTTAGGTCCTCTTCACTTTCTGCCATTAGAGTGGCATTGTCTCCATATCTGAGGTTGTTGATCTTTTCCCCAGCAATCTTAATTCCCGCTTGTGATTCATCCAGGCCAGCATTTTGCATGATGTACTCTGCATATATATTAAATAAGCAAGGTGACAAAATACATCCTTGCCGTACTCCTTTTCCTATGCTAAACCAATCGGTTGTTCCATATCCGGTTCTAACTGTTGCTTCTTGACCCTTATACAGGTTTCTCAAGAGACATGTGAGGTGGTCTGGTACTCCCATCTCTTTAAGGACCTGCCATAGTTTGTTGTGATCCACACAGTCAAAGTCTATAGGTGATAATATTTAGTTCCGTGTCACAGAAACCTGGCTGAGTTTTGCAGATCAAAACCTGTCGTTAAATGGAAGAAGAGCACTTCAGACTCCACCCCCCACCCCCAGCTGGCAACCTGGTTTTAGGGCCTTGTTTGCAGATGGCTTTCCGTTTTCTCCTGT